GGCCTATCAAAATGTGCCCTTCGGGAAACGATCCAGTATCGATCTCAAGCCCCAAGGTTTTGAACTTGGAGTCAAATGGCACACACTTGTGGCCTTCCTTTGCGTACTGCAACGCCAGGAGGTCAAACAAAGCCTCGCACGCCCAGCTGCTGCTTCTTTCCAGCTCTGCCCTTGACAACAAGGTGTAGTCATCATAGAAGGCACTCCAAAGAAGCCCAAGGCCAAAGTAGCCCAGATACCAAAGGGCTGACTCTCAAAAAGCCTGCCACTGACCCCACTGCTCCAAAAGGCAGTGAATTGAAGCCGATGATGGCACACTTGTCACTGTCTGGTAAGTTTACACCCATCCTAAGGACTGCACGGTCGTCAGGATGCACCGCAAATTGCTTGTAGGCAGAGCGCAAATCGTACGTCCTGCCTTTCAATGTGGGGCGCCCCTCAGCTGGGCACAACTTCATGGCGCATCCCAACATCGCCGCAAGGAAATCCACAGAATGCAACTTGAACTTCTCATGAAGTCCGACCGTCAGGTTGATGCCACAGCAAGTGCAATCATCAATGACCCTTATCTTTGGCCCCTGACGGATGCCGAAACGTTTTCCAACAAACTTGCCTTCTGTAGCATTCTCCTCATCAAGAAAAATCCATCCTTTCTCCAGCTCGGCTTGCGTCTCTTTCCAAGTGGCCTCCTCAAGCTCCGTCTCTTGGCGCTTGCTCAATGACGCAAAATTCTTTGAGTTGAACTATTTGCCCAACTTCTTGAGTGTCTCCATGGACATCGGTGGCCTTTTGGACTTTGCTCTGAAAACGTTTGAACGTGTCATGTAACCACTCAAACGGAAACCAGCTGCTATGTCACTGACAAGTTTGTCATCTGGGTACCCTAGGTCAGACAACATTTCACCAAGCAAAACCAGTCTCTTTTGACCCACAACGCCACGAACATGCTCAGGCATCTGTTCCCTAAGTTGTTCTTCCGCCACTGCAAGCTCTTTGGCCCTCGCAGTCCACCTCTTCAAGTATAGGGCCCTCTTCTTGGCCAAGACAAACGGTGGGTCTAAAAGGTTTGCCCTGACCACATTTCGCATAGCTTCGTCAACGTGAACATCGAGACCTCTAGGGTGTCCCGCTTTGTAGGCCCGATTGACAAAGTCCTCGGGTGTGCTGGGCACTCCTACCCAACAAAGTTCAACCATGTCATCATGATCCAAATGTTCCACGCCAGCAAGAAATTTGCACTCTTCCTCCACGACCCGCACCTCTCCCCGTTTCCGCAGTTGTCGTGCAGTGATTTTGGACCCTTTTGGAAAGGACGAAATGAAGGTCTCAATCGTCTCCGGGTTTTGTGGGGGCACCACAACCGTAACAAAACGGCCAAATTCAGCCACAAGTGGGCGGAGTTTTGCTCCACGCGGCAAGGATCCCAAAGCAATGCGCCCTGCCACATCTGCGTCCGGTTGTTGAACCTGCTCTGCCAGGGTTGTGGATTCCATAGCCCCCAATCGGAGGACTTGTCGCTTCACGCACTCAATGATGCGCTGACATAGTATCTGCGGATATGCCGCCTCTTCTGCTGTGGGAAAAGGAACTGAATTTTTCCCGACTGTGACTTTCCAAGAATTGTGACTGCGTGAGTTGTCACATCTCGCCTCCAGCGCATCCAACCAGTCGTCATTGACCCAAATCGAGGTCAACTTGTCTCTTGACCCCCCATGACTGCAGTTGTGAAATGTTACAAACTTGCGTCCAAATTCCTCCATGATGCTCACCATCGGTGTCGTGTTCCAGTAATGGCTGTTGCCTGGATTTTCAATGCCAGTGAAAATGTTGGCCCTGCAAGTTGTACGAGTGATCTGCTCCACTGCACTGTAAAGCAAATTTGCCTTCTCCACCTTCAGCTTGTCTGTATCGGCCAGGCCATCAATCTGGTCTGGCTGGTCCACCGATCGCAGCGGAACCGGCACTGCGATGCCAAGCCTTTGTAGTTGAGGTAGGCGTCTTTCACGCGCCTTGCTTGCAGTCCCACAAGAAGGAGCTATCCAAACTGCAGCAATGTTGTCTGCCTCCGCTTCCAGAAACTGACAGAGGTCGTTGACCTGATCTTGGTCCTCAAGTTCAAATATGCAAATATCTATGCCACACGATCGTCTGTCCGTGTGGTCCACTGCTATTCGATTGAAACCAGCATCGCGGGCAGCCCTGGTCAGTCTAGCACTGCCTGCACAGATCTCTACAAAAATTAGATCGTGAAGCAGCTTTCCCTCAAACTTTGATTTGTATTGCATTGCAAATTCACCAAGCCTTGAACTCTTTGAATTGGCCTCCTGCTCCACTTGTTGCGGAGTGCCAGATGCAATTTGTAAACTGTCTTCAACATGTTTGCTCCTTGCACCCCTTCTCTTGCAAAGCCTTGTGTCGATATTCGATTGTGGCTCTTGTGAAACAGATTTTCGCTTCCCACCTGGGGCCAAAGTGGCCCCAGTGGGTGAGACTTGTCAAGCTCCATCTTTGCCAAGCCCACGGCACACCACAACTGAATGCCCCGGCTTGTGGCAATGAGCACATGCATGGTATCCCTTTGCACATCTGGATGGCTTGCCAGATGTCGAGTTCTTGCAACCCGCTTTCAGGTTGTATGCCCAACAAATTGGGCCATGCTCGCGCTTCAGATTGAACTTCCGCAACTCTTCCGGGCAACTTTTCTCTGCCCTGGTCTTTCTTCGTTTGTTCGTACTCTTCGCTGCTGCTTGCACTGGAGCTCCGGGGGTGGTCTTCTTGGTCACCACCTCCTTGTCAGCTGCTCTTGCTGCTGCTGTTGTTGGCAGCAAGAACCTTGTAATCCTCGGGTCATGGCACAATCTGCTCACCATGGCATCCAAGGGTATGTCTCCTGTTGGAGTAGGCTTAAGACTGCCTTTGACATCTTGGGCAAGCAGTGTCCACAGCTCACGGTCTGCTCGCACAAGCTGTTCCACCTTGACTTGTTGAAACCCAGGGGGTGCAGGATGGCTCAGGGTGCGAAAAAGCTGGTGCACCCAGGCGTCATGAATTTCCCATGACAGCAGCCTGCACTGGTCCATCGCAAGCCCCCTTCTCTGCCAGCACCATTGAAGCTTGATCTCACTGCCATAGTCTGCCTTGAACTCTTCGGCCATCTGTGATACACGTAGTTGATGGTTTTCGACTTGCACAGCCGAAGGCCGCTCCTTGATGGCCATCTGCACCTCATCTGCTCTCTTCGTGCATCGGCTAGGAGCAATCCAAACCAAAGCACCTGTCTCCAAAATGTTGTTGGCCAGGTCCAGCAATTGGTGGCTGGGTTCAAGTTCACCGCTAATCTTGACTCCAGTGAGTCTTTTCTCCTATTGTTCCTGTCTGTAGCGCTTCTCTGCTATTGGAATCCGTTTCACAACATCAGCCTTGTCAGCTGCTTCACTGTCCACCCTCTGTTTCACAGAAGCGATCATCAGAGTTGTTGATTCGAAGTGCAACCTCCTCAACATTGAAGTCTGGCCCAATGTCACTCCTGCCCCAAAGACTGCCTGTGCCAACGTGTTGAACTGCTGATCCGTCGGCGGCGTCTGGGGCGTTCCCAAAGAGAAAGCCATGCCACTAAACGTGGAAATGTTTTGCGCTGCCAGAGCATTCCCAAAGTTGCCTGTCTGATCGATTTCTGTGCATCTCGGGGTGAAGGCCGCACTGCTCTCAACCAGTGCCATGTTTGCCAGCAACGCCTATCTAAAAACTGAAAAGGAAAGACCGTATGTTGTGTCAAAATATTGCTATGACTTTGAAGTCCTCCTGAGTTGAAATCTGTCCTATGGAAAAAGCGCTTCAGTTCTGCAAAGGTGTGATGAGATTTCTATCAGCTCCCTTACGCCACTGAAGTCATGAATGTCGTGTTCAGCCAACTACAGGTTGTCATCCCTAGTAGCTGAGCCTCTCCACGCACATGACGAAATTCATGTGTCAGCTGCACAACTCTGGTTGACGCCATGTTGTGTCCCGACATCTCTGAAATGTTTCAAAGAAAAACCGAAAAATGACAACCACACATGCAGTCAGCCCACAGGCATGTGACGAATTCAGAGCCAACAAATGCCCCACAGAATTACGACCGAGTTTGTGAGCGGAGTAGAAAAACTCGGTCGTAATTTTTTTTGCTTCTAAAATGCCCGAGAAAGGATTCTAGGTGTATGTTGCAGACCATGGGCGGTGCTTTTGGACTCACTCTGTGTCCGAGGTTGTTTGCCGCAGCCGACAACTGTGAATGTCAGATTAACATTCAGTGCTACCACTCTACATCAGTGCAGCAACATTGGTACACAATGTCAATGTCAAAAAGACAACACGTTTTGCAACACATGTTGGGTCACATGTGCAACTGCACTGACCTTGAGTGGCGCCTGTGTTGACGTCGAGCTGCACTGTGGCGCGCATGGTGCGGTCTGCCAGCGTCTTGTTTATCAATGCATCTGTTCTCAATGAAAATGACACATGGAAAATTCAAGAAAGAGCTAAACTGCATCAATGACTCGTGCTGTGGATTCCACGCCTGAACATGGCCTACTGCAAAAGGCATGGTGAAAGTAAGACTAGGCTAGGCACGCGTCATCCCTGAGAATGTTGCATTGGTCCGGACGCTCCCGTGCCTAACCCTGCACGTCTCTCCAGTCACTCATCTTGCACTAAACAGGCACAAGTGTGAATCATGCTGCAACTGGTAAGTACTCACATGAAATGAAATTGAACAAACAACCGTCCAAATTTGGAGTGATTTGGAATTCCAACGTTCTGCAAAAACTACCTCTGAGCTTCAGGCAGTGGTGCAACGTGTTCCAATGCGGCTTGTGAGAAACCAAGTTGACAGCAAACAAAATAAAACTAATGACAAGTGGCACGTAAAGTTTGTGGTTTAAAAAACAACATGCAAAGCACAACTGAAACACACGTCTGACATGTTTGGTTTCAAACTCTACTTCAAAAGTGTGTTGTCCGGCTCAAACCTTGTCGGCCTTGTTGAAACATGCCCAACACACTGGAGAGTCAAACCGTGGGTCCTGACTGATCTGATGGTGAAAAGCTCCTACCGCCCTGCCACAAACGAAAACTTTGAAATATCCAGGCTCAGTCAAATGAATTGTTTTCAGCTTTGCATGTTGCCACCTTTGGAAACCCTCTGGAGGCTTCGGCGGTGCAAAGGTCTTGTTCAGCTCGTGGTCCTCCGGAATGTCTCCTGAGGATGACCCTGAGTCGGACGTGCTGCCTGAAGAGTCAGACTCATCCAGCTGGCCACATTGCTCTTCATCTGATGACAAGACAACTTCTGCCTTGACCGTGTCGTTCTGAGGTTCAGGCACAACTCCAGGGGACTCCACAACTCTGCCGCTTCTAGATTCTAGTGCTGTCAGGTTTGAATTTCCCTCTGGCAATGTCATCAATCAACTGTTCTAGCAGGAGAAGACTTGCAGCTGCACCATCCCTAGAATACACCATTGCCATGTGCATTTGGGATGCATGATATCCTAACATCAATCGGTCAGGGACAGACAACCCTCTCTTGGCTGCAAATGACAACATCGTACATTTGAGGCTGTGACTGCTGACCCTTCTGTCAGGATCAGTGGTTTCTGCAATGCCAATGTCCAGCACACGTCGAAGCCACTTCCCGCACTCTCCAGACTCCAGCGGCCTCTGCGAAGCCCCACCTTCTCTGTCTGGTGCCGGCATGATGAGACCCTGTGGCGGGAAGGCCAGTCCAAGCTCACGCCTTCTCTGCAACCATGGGCCGACCCAATCACCACCATGCACGCCTTTCACCGGCGCAACCATTGGCAAGAACTGGTGTCTGTGCATTTGTGAGCTCATTGTCTTATGCCGTCCTGTCCTCGTCTCAAAGTAGGCAGGCTTGCCTCCTTCGTCACAATCAACAAATGCCTTTTCACCCCTCATCAGGTCTCCCCATCTGCCTCTGCAATAGCAGCACAAGAGCGCCGCTCCGGCAAAGACCGCATCCCAAGGGTCTGAACTTGTGTCCACCAACATGTGCAACTTGTTCAGCTCGCACACAGTCAGCGGGCTGGCTTGCTTCCGCTCCTTGGGGCATGACTCCCTTGCCACTCCACTGCACCTCTTGCTGTCTAGGACGCACTGCAGCTCCACCACGTCCAACACGTGTCTGCAAAAAGCAATGGCCTGGATCATGCCCTTCAACCTGCTGGCCGGGGCCCCCATGGCTTCTGCTCTGCAAAGAAACCTGTAGAACGTGATCTCTTTCATTGGGAAAGGTTCCAGTGCATTCTGTTCCAAGTAGTCGCACACCTTGAGAATGGCTGCACCACGTTTACGTATGGTCACTGGAGCCCTCCCTGAGAAAACATGGGCAAACATAGTGAACACTTCTTCCTCTGTCCGCATTTCCCCCAGCTTCACCGCAAGAGTGCTCTGATCACTCCACCTGCTGGTTACTGCAATCCAAAGTTTGATACCTTGTTGCAAATCTGCTTCCCTCTGATCTTGCCAAGGAATGTCAGGTTTGAAAGAAACAACATCCATGTACGTGCAAGTATGAGCATGTGCACGTTTCTTTGCAAGCTCTGTCTCGGTCTCCAAAATTTGACTGTCCACACCCCACAGCGATGGAGTCGGCCTGGTGACTTGAGGCCCCCAAACGTCGAAGTCCAAAACAGTGTCATCACTTCCAAATATGTGTTTCCAAATACTTGTTTCCCAAATTTGTTTAGGTTGTTCAGCGTCTGCAGAATTGAAAGCAACATTCAAAGCAGCATCAAAACTGAAAGCCGTTGTTGAAGCATCCACTGGCGATGAGTCACGTTTTTTTCAGATACAACAGATTCAAGAGTACGCTGTTTGTCATGATCATCGTCTGCCACAGTCGTGGGACTGACTCCTGAAGCATCCTCAGCAACTGCAGGTTCATCGCTGCCAAACAGGTCTGTCCGTAAAACTTTGCCACACAAAGTTAGATCGCGAAAACCGCTTTCAAACCTCTCGTGCTCAAAGTAAACCCAAACCAAAACACAAACAAACGGCGATCGTTTCGCGTTTCTGCAGTATCGACTCTCCCAGGCCGTCTCACGGCGACACACTCACACACTTTTCGCTCTCGCAGGCTTGAGCCAACGTTCACGTTGGTAAACACAGTTCAGAACACAGAAACTAAGTGAGTTTCTGTGGGTAAAGCAAACTGGATTCCGGTCCAGTCAAGGAGATTCCAAAATCTCTACAAACTTAATTGTGCAAAAACGATTCTACCAATCTAGAAACGTGCAAAACAGGTTTCTCGGTTCCTAAAAACCTAAGATTGGTTTCGTGCAGTTTGGTTCTCGTGTGGAATACCCTACAACGTGCAGAAAACCTAAAAACGGCTAACTACAAACGAAAAATGGCAACTCCGTCACAACTCTTTGTGACGGAATGAGATGAGATCGATTAACTACATCACAATCACCTGCTAACTACAAAACAAAGTCCAAACTACGCAAGTCCACAAACTACAACTACAAAGCAACTAACAACTACCTAAGTTCAAGCACAAGATCGCTACGCTAGCTATACATAGGATGATTTTTCACACCCCCTTTCGAACTTGTGCGACTCAAATTCAAAACGAATTCAGTCACTCGGCCTTGACATTCCTCATGCCATAGCAGATAGGGCATGCTGACAGCGTCATCTGCTTTGACTTCTCCGTTGTACGGCAACCTGAACAGTGATACTTCGATCCTGTTGAGGTCGCAACCAACAAGGGTCCAGTCTCCGGTTGGCAAATCTGGCAATTGTCTCGGCATCGGATATGTCCATTTGGACTAGCGGCGGCAATCAAAACCTTGCATTTCTCATTGCAGTGATACATCTCTCGGCAAAAACTCCAATAGATACGAGTACCTGGGCCTTCACCGTCAGAGTCACAAGACAAAGCTGTAGAACTATTCATAACTGTACCTGAATTTCTTGCAGTTGTATTGCGGCTTTTGCAACATCTCGTAATGCAGTAAGCTGAAAGAATACCAGATAGAAAACCCAGTGTATATACAAAGAATAAGAGCCAGTAGAGCTCTTCCATCTCTCCAGTGGCCATGGCTTGCGCGACCTGCCCACACACACACAATGGCTGCGGAAATCCAATCAAGCTTAAGCTGAAATCCATTCCAAGCAGTCCACAAGCATTCCAAAGACAGTCCATCAAGGAAAGTCCACAGAAAATCCAAGAAAGTCCAAAGATCATCCTCTCGATGTCTTCTAAAGACTTCTGCAACTCTTGCAATTCAAATTGGATTCAGAACTATATCATGCAATCGTCAGACCTCAAAGTCTCGATAATTAGATCCGACTACCCAAGCAACGCACAGGGCAACGATCAAAGAGAGTTTCAGCCTCATGTCTCAGACACTTAAAGACCTTTCTCTATCTAGCTGACTTCACAAGTCTATCAAAACCTCAAGATGACTTCACAAGTCGTTCAAGTTATCCAAAATCTCACAAGTCCACTCATGCAGCAGACTCTTTCTTTTTCCTCAGGGAAGATCAGGCGATAAAATCAGCGTGGCTTCGACGCCATCGATCACCTGAGGGCAAGTAATGCGAGCATCCGCACAAAAAAAATCTGGCAAACTTCCTGGAATATTTTTCTGACAACTGAAAGTCAGAAAAATTGAATGATGCGTGGAAATCACAAGCACAATGAAAACGCTTCTCAAGACGTTGACTAAGCTCCTCGGAACTTGACATGATCCTGAACGCTTTCTTGATGGGTAATCCTGGCAGTCCTTCAATTCCCATTGCACAAGCATGGACAAAAGACCTGAATGGAATTCTGGCCTGAACAAAGGCTTGCAGCTTCGGATGAGTCCAGTACCTGTTGGAATTTGGCAATTCAAAAGACATGGACAACTCGGGATGTCTTTCTACTAACCTATCCAACAACTTTTCACAAGCGGCTAGAAGTTCGAAAAACTTCCGCTCATGCTCGGGGACTCTTTTCCCACCCGAAAAATTCTGCAATGGAGATCCACCTGTGCACGGCAACGACATGTGAACGTGACAGAACAAATGCACCTCTCCCAGCTCTCGATCAGAGGCTGATCTGGTCATCTTCAAGTCGTCCATCACCTGGTTCACAAGATCTGCAACATGATTCTGTGTAGCTACCTTCTCAAGATTTCCATGAACTCCAACATAACAAGCACGGCTCTCAGCGCATGCAGCTGACAAGACACTGGCTTTGCTGCAGGCTAGCTCGACAAAAAGACCTACCCCCCTTTCACTCTTGAAATGGGTCACATCAGCTTCTGAAGAACTCGAACCTGAAATTGCAGAGCTCGGGCCGCTGCATTTGCAGTTGCAGCTGACGCTGTTGACGTTGTCAACAACCTGAACAACCTCCGATTTGCTCGCATCGGAAGTTCTCCACTGCCATGACATGCTATGCAGGCTTCCATACGGCGCTGGGGCGGTCTCCCTGATGTCTCAGAAGGCTCTGGCGGGGCCTCATGAAATCATAGACATACTGTACCCCGATGAAGGGGCAATTGTCTCAGCTTCCAGTGCTCCTCCTGGGCCAACTCTGAATGGCCATGGGGCAGCTCGCCCACAAGCGACGCTGCTTTCGCTTCAGGGCTCTTCGGAGTAACCAAATCCACAGCTGGTGATGCCTTTGCACCTGGGCTCGCCTTAGGCGATGTGGGCTCTCCAGCTTTCGCCTTTGGAGGCGTCTTTGGCGCACTTGAAACTCGTGCTGGAGCTGGCGGTGGCGGTGGTACCTGAGGTGGCGCCGGTGGCGCTGGCGGTGGTGGTAGTGGGCCCTTGGCTGGAGAAGGCTTCGCTGGAGGGGCCTTCCCAGAGACCATGGGTGGTGCAGGCGGTTGCTGTGGCCCTTGCGGAACCCACCCCTTCGGCGGGTGTGCAGGCGGCTTCGGACCCATCGCCACTGCCGCATTGCTGCTGGCCGGAAACTGGCCGCTTCTCTTCGGTGGCGTCTGAGGGGGACCCATCCCAGTCCTCTGACGGGCTCTTGGAGGGCTACCTGCATCTGCTGGGGCCTCCTCGGACCAACCGTGGCCTCTCAGCCTCTTGTTGTGCATTCGTAGTGACTCCTGGGTCAATCCAACCTGTGAAATTGAATCACCCGGGGCAACCTCATCGCCCACAGTGGAGTCTGGCTGGTGCTGTCCTCGTGGCGTCAAAGTCACACGCCCATGAGTAAGGCTCACCCTTCGCTCCATCTCAGGACACTGAGAGATAATGTGGCCTCTCTGTCCACAATGACCACATTTCAGACCTTTCGGATTCTTCCAGCTGAATCCACTGAAAGACCTCACAAAGGCGGGTCCTTTGTCTTCCTCAGATTTCGGGTTCCTTGTCTCGATCTGCAACTCCTCTCTCCTGTTTGACTGAGGGTTGTACATCCTTCGGACGACCCTTCTCTGACCTGGCAGTCTCGACCCTGTCACAACCTCAAACGTAGGTGTTGGCCTCGATTCCTCTTCTCTCCTCTGCGCAGCGAAGAACTCGAGTGCCTCCCTCTGCCTGTTCTTCCAAGCCTGGCGCTTGGCCTTACGACGACCAGCCTCGCGTCGTCTCTTCAGCAAACCAGTGGCCTCCCAGGCCTCTTTCTTCACCTGAATCACAAAACGACCAGGCTTCCTGGGCATCTTCTTCACAGCAGGTTCACGTCCAGGGGCTTGAGACCTTCCTGACGGTCCAGCTTTCTCCACAGGTCTGCCTCGATCAGGCATGGCTTTCTTCTTGGGTCTCGGCGGCTGAGCTTTCTTTGGAGTGACCTCCACAACGTCCTCAGCCTCGGCAACTGCAGCCTCTGCTGCACCAGGTACCGCCTCAGTAGCGGCAGGGGGAGCTGCAGCCTCTGCTGCCTTCGGCACTGCCACAACATCTTCAGCAGCTGACAACACTGCCTCTGCAGATGTCACCACAACAGTCGCAGTATTGGCTTCACCACCAACGATGGTAACCGTATCATCAGACTCTGGTGCCGCACCGACACCTTCAGCTGTTGGATGCCCAAGGAGCGCATGGCTGTCCGGCGCTCTGGGCTCTTCTCGTTCTGCAGGGATACGTCCAGCCATAGCAGAACCGATTCCCTCGCCTTGAAACCTTTCGCAAACAGCTACAAGTGCATTGATCATCTGAGTGCATGAACGTGGAAATGGCGACAATTCACAAGTTGTGGAATTTGCAGGTTCTTCACAAATCAACTCTCCACAAAACATGCAGTTTCTGGTTGAAAACGCACACAAAATACCTGAAAAACTGTTGTCACAGATTTCAAAATCGAGCAAACAGTCCAAAAGAATACCTTCAAACGACGAAAAACCAAGTATCTCCATGTACTGCAACGCTTTGATCGTCGGCAAACATTTGGTAAAATGGTCAGCGACGTTCCCAGTTCCTCGGACATGCCCAATTTGCAAAATCTCTTTTGCCAAAAGTTCCCTCAACCAGTTCACTTTGATGTCGATATGTCTTGACCTACGCTGGAGGTCGGAACCTTCCAAAAGCATCTTCCCACTCAGGGAGTCGGTCCACAAGAGGATTGGACAGACAAAATCCAAACTGTCGTCCTCGGATGAAGACGGTGGATATACCTGAATGCGACGCAGGACAAAACTCAGACTTCTCAGCAAACCAATGGCTTCTTGGACAGCTGCCTGAACGGCAACGAGCTCTGCCTCGCATGAACTCAAAGTCACAGATGCCTGATGTCGAGAGAAACACTTCAAGACAACACGTCGGAAAACAATAACACATCCAGTGATGCTTCTCCTCTGAGTAGCTT